AAGTCTCTTGGGATGACAAAGAATATCCCATTCTTGTTCAGTGATATCACAATATATCTACAGATACACATCATCAAGGATCCTGCCTATGATGTGTTGCTTGGTAGACCCTTTGATGCACTAACAACAAGTATGGTATATAACACAGTGGATAGAGGACAGACTATTAAGATAAAAGATCCTAACTCCACACAATGTGCAATAGTACCAACATTCTCTAAGGGACAGAAGAAGTTTATGATGTGCAAAGTAAGCAAGAGTTTTCAATGATCAATGACTTGATTAATGATCAAGGAGATTTAGCACTAATAATAGAGCCTGATCATGATGGTGATCTGATGATCAGCACCTATGCAAAACCCATAAGATCACATGTATTTGAGAAAGAAGAATTACAGGCAGTATATGCTGTAGCAAGCTCAATGGTGCATAGTGAGGATACAAAGGTGCATAGGACTTTATCCTCATATTTTAGAGCACTTAAAGAAATAAAAGATATGAAAAGACAGGACAAAGATGCAGAGATGTGTAAGAGAGATGTCATATAGAATGTAAGCAAGGTACAATGCAAAGCGAGCTCAGAGCAATGCACAGAAATTAAACTTTTTGATAAAGTCAGTATAGAGTATTCTCCACTGGCAGTAGAGTCAGTAAAAGATGTCTTTGCAATGAAGAAATATAAGCCAGTAGCACAAAAGATATGATCTATTACAGGAGAATTATTATCAGAGTTCCGCATTGTGCATGAAATCAGAGGAGACCCTTTAGCAAGCATGCCTCAATTGAGTACCCATCCACTGGAATATATGCCAACAGGAAGGTACACCCAAGAGCACAAAGAGATAATTGACAGAGTCCATTCAGAAGTCTTTCTGTGGCCAGAAGAGTGCAAGCTCATGCATGAGTTTATATGCCTGCAGAATGAGGGATTTGCCTGGGATGATACTGAGTGAGGCTATTTTAAGGAGGAGTACTTTTCTCCTGTAACCATCCCAGCTGTAGAACATACTTCTTGGATACAGAAGAACATATCAATTCCACCAGGAATATTTGATCAGGTATATAAGATAATAAAAACCAAAATTGATGCAAGAGTGTATGAGCTATCAAACTCCTCTTATTGCTCACATTGGTTTTGTGTGGTTAAGAAAGATGGAAAGAGCCTGAGGCTAGTCCATAGCCTGGAGCCCTTGAATGCAGTCACAATCAAGCACTCAGGAGTGCCTTCAGCGACAGATGAGCTAGCAGAGCACTTTGCAGGATGTTTCTGTGGAGGCACATTGGATCTCTATGTAGGATATGATGAGAGAACCTTAGATGAGGGATCTAGAGATCTTATCACATTCTAAACACCATTTGGCATGCTAAGACTCATGATATTGCCCATGGGATAGACAAACTCTGTGCCAATATTTCATGATGATGTGACATATATACTGAAGGATGAAGTACCTCACATCACTATATCATATGTAGACAATGTTCTGGTATGAGGACCGAAAACGTGCTATGAAATTAAAGGTGGAGGATATAAAACTATCAAGAAAAACTGAGAGATTCCCAGATTTGTGTGAGAACACTTCCAGAATATAAACTGGATGGTACAGCATATGAAATATGCTGGAGAAACTTTCTTCGGTCATAAAGCTGTCCTTTGCACATCAGAAATTATAGTTGTAGGACACTATTGCACCTATGAAGATAGAAAACCTGAAACAGACAGAGTAGGAGTGATAATACAATGGGGACCATGTGAAGACTTGGGAGATGTGCACTCTTTTCTGGGAACAATGGGAGTACACAGGATGTTCATTAAAGATTATGCCAAAAAAGCAGATGCCTTGACAAGGTTAACTCACTTAAAAGTACCATTCGAATTTGGAAATGAGCAGAGAGAATCGATACAGATATTGAAGGATGCATTGCACTCTAGCCCATCTTTGATGCCAATTGATTATAAACTGGACACAGATGTGATATTGGGAGTAGATATATCATATCATGCAGTCAGATTCCATATCTGTCAAGTTGATCCAGATAATCCAAAGTGAAGGAGATATGCATGCTTTGGTTCCATTGTTTTAAATGAGTGGGAAGCATGCTTTTCACAACCAAAATGGGAGCTCTATGGACTATTCAGAGCCTTGCATGCTTGCCAACATTAGCTCTTTGGAGTGAGAAAATTAGTGGTAGAGACAGATGCAAAATACATTGCTGGAATGCTTAGAAACTCTGACAAGGTTCCTAATGCTATGATAAACAGATAGATAGAGTCTATTCTGATGTTCCACTTCACATTGGTACATATCTCAGGTGAGAGACATGCACCAGATAGATTATCTAAGTGCAGTTTTCAGCCAGGAGATGAAGAATACTCAAATCTAGAAGATGAATATAGTCCACCAAAGGAGGAACCATGGGAATTCATCAATGAGACTGAAGATGAGGTAGAAGACATTGCAGAATTTAAAGAGAGAATTGACACTCAGCATGGCTTTGTAACAGTTGCCAGAGTGGTACATGACTTCCATGAAGACAAAGTAATACAGAAAGCCTTAGAGCATGGTGAAACACATGCTATACTGTATAATGCAGGACTACTGCTCTCTGAGGCTGCTGAGTACAGTGACATAGTGAGTTATGATGAATCATGAAGGAGCAGGTATGCAAAGATGCTAGATAAGTAATTGCCACAGGTAATGCAGTGGCATGAGAACCCTACCATGCAGATACCTGGATTTAATAATAATCAATACCGGAACTTTATAAGATATGCAAAGAATTTCATGGTGGAAAAAGGAAAGCTATATAGATGAGATATAGAGTTGGAATATAAGCTAGTCATCTACCCAGAGAAGAGAATGTATATAATGAAAGCTGCATATGATCAGCTTGGACACTGAGGTATATATGTGATGAAAATATTGATTAAAGAGAGATTTTGGTGGCCAGAGATGGAGCACGATATCTCATGGTTTGTTAGCACTTGCAACATATGCCAGGAGTGCCAGAAGACCATCATCAAGGCACCCCCAATAGTGACCTTTACACCATCAATCTTCCAGGTATTACATGCAGACACAATGTATATGCCAGAGGCATCAAACCATTACAAGTATATTGTGCATGGATGTTGCATGCTAACTAGCTGGATGGAAGGATGAACCTTAGTGAGTGAAACTGTGCAAGCAATCACAGAATGGTTATTTGAAGATATCATATGCTGGTGAGACTGTATTTCCTTGATAATAATGGATAACAGCAAGCAATTCAAAGCTGCAGTAGCATATTTGGAACAGAAATATGGTATAAAGGGGATAAGAATATCTCCATACAACTCACAGGCCAATAAAAGGATAGAATGACCACACTGGGATGTGTGGCAGAGCTTATTCAAAGCATGTGGAGGAAATGAGAAAAAGTGGCATTATTACTTCATGCTAGTGATGTGGGCTGACAGAATCACTGTCAGAAAACAGATGGGATGCTCTCTCTTCTTTGCAGTTACTGGTGCACATCCAATATTACCACTTGATGTGCTAGAAGCAACATAGCTAGTTGAGTATCCAGGGAGAATTATAGAGGATTGAGAACTCCATAGATTGTGCACAATAGCACTAGAAAAACATGCAGATAAGGTAGCAGAGATGCACAATCATATGGATGAGAAAAAGAAACAAGATACATTGAAGTATACGATGATGCATGCAAATAAAATTAAGTCCTATAACTTCAAACGAGGGGACTTAGTTTTAATGTGCAATACACAGATTGAGAGTGCACTGAATACAAAGATGAAACCACAGTATCTAGGTCCCTTAGTTGTACTGGACTGCTCAAGTGCAGAAAACTACATCCTGGCAGAACTAGATAGCATGCTAATTGGGTCAAAGATTGCAGCATTCTGTGTGATCCCATACCTCACATGCAATTTCATAGAAATTGATGATAAGGTCATGCACTGGCTGTGCAAAGATTCAAAAGAATTGTGAAAGATATTAGAGTCATCAGAACCAAAAGACAGATGGCCATCAAACTTCACTGAAGAGTTAGAAGAACTGCCAACCCCAAAAGTGTCAGACACAGTTAACTTAGATGAGGATTAGCATAGAATGCAAAAACATCTTCTGCAGGCATATAATTACTGAGTAATGACAGGATGTACAACACTAGCTACTGTACTTGCAATGTGAGAAGGTTCAAAAAAGTGCTATGTTGGAGTCAAAGATAGAAAAGGAGAATAAGAGATCATGACAAACCAGATGATGGATGAGTATCATAAATAGCGAGTACTACTACTGCCCTGGGATCAGGCAGACAGAGGCTCCACATTAAATGAGATGGAAGGAGCAGAAGGAGTCTCGGTCTCCACAGGAGTGGGATCTCCAGAGTCTGCTGGCACTGGAACTGAGGGATGAAGGGCAGACTGGATGCACTCAAGTTCATCAAAGAGGAAAGCATGCTGTTTCTTGGCAGTGTATAGAGTGTGCTGGAGCACAAGGACATCACTCATGAGGGCACTATTGAGCTTAGCCAGATGCTCAGATCTCTCCACCATGAAATGACCTATGGCTGATCCTTTATAACTCTCACACAAAGCATCGACACTAGGAGCAGCTCCCTCATCATCAGCAACTGAAAATATAAAGAGCACAATTAAAAAATGATATAGCAAGCAATGAAAAAAAGATACATACAGATACTAACAAGTCCAAGAGCTGAGGCAGGGTGCCACTCTCCAATACCACAAGAACCATGATGGAAATACTCCTGGGCTGATGGAAGCAGAAACAATGGCTTAGCACACTTGCAAGTGTGAGCACCATCTTTGCTGATAAACCTTTGGAAAGTTGCCTGAGCCACTTTACTGGTCAGAAACACAAGTGGTAGATAAGAAAAGGAGATAACATACCTGACTCTTGTTGGAGCAATCAGCAAAAGAATGACTATTGGCACCACAATGCACACAGAAAGATGGCTCCTTCTAGAATTACAATCTCTTAGTGAAAGAGACACCAATAACATGCAAAGACTCTGACCTTGTAGGGTTCCTTATGCTTGTCCCCAGTAATCACATCGCCAGACCTAGCCTTGGAAAACTTCAGAAACCACCCAGCCCTGAAGGCCTCCTCATCAATAACTATCTTGAGGAGATTGGACATCAGATAGTCAAGCAGAGATCATGAAGACTAGACATACTTTAATAGACTTGGTATCAGAATCAGAATGGACTGCTACCTTGTCTGAGTCATCCTCATCATCATCAGACTCAGTATCAATGGTGACACAAGAATGATGAATAGCATGGCCTTTGCCCTTATTGCATGCAATGACTCTGGTCTAGCAGGAGAAAATCAGTCAGAGGAACTATTAAACAGAGAAAACAATTACAAACTGACTTAGAGTCATAATGAGGGCCAGTCGAAATGGAAGGAGCACCTGGCCCACCATCTGCAAGCTGACCTCACTCACTTTGAACTCATCCAGTGATGGTCTTGAGCACCTTATGGATAGGCTGCTCAGAAGTATTAGTATGAAATTCCTTTTCAATAGCAGTGCAAGCATGAAAAACTGACTTCTTGAGGTTCTTATCTCTGGTGAGCTCGCTTTTATAATGCTCAAGATGAGACTATCATGTAGAAGTCAGTAAAACAGCAGAAATAATATACAAACACATATGGTATACTCCTGGAGTTGATCAAAATGATTATTCACAGTAGTAGCAGGATCCTTACAGAGGGACATGATGACAGCCTTCACAACAATGAAAGTAGGGATCATTTTGACAGAGAATGGAGAAGAAATAGACAAGTAACAGCAAAGACAATAAGAGAGGTGGTGAGTGGAGTCAAAATAAGACAAAAAACCCTCAACCTTTATACTCATGTGATAATAATATTTGATCAGAAAAATAATAACAGAAAAAGAAATTCTGTGAGAAAGGACAGACATTAAGAGTGCTGAGCTCAGAAAACTAACATTTGACATGTGTGGGACCCAGAAACCTGATCTGGCCTTATAAAATAAATGAATTGTCATTTGAATTATAACTGAGGACAGTTAGATGCTTTTGGTGTAGGGGATATAGTGGTATACCTAGGGTATTACCATAACAGAGACAGTAAATTTTGCGATTGCAAGCTCTGCTAGGCATAGAAACAGAAGAATAAAAAAGAAATAACAGAATAATGACAGAAAATCAAATTATTAATAGCAGTGACAGATCCAGACAGTTAAAGGAGAGTCAACATGCAATGATACCAACATCCCACCAAGGAAATAAAAAGAACAGGTTGAAAGAGAGCAACAGGACAGCTTATGAAATAACAGAAAAGGAGAAATAATGAATAAAGAATACCGATATGTGGGACTCAGGTATGAGCTCAACATAGTAATCAGGGCTCTTGTAAGCCAGAGAGATTGAAATATGAAACTCAGACTCAGCTGAAATCAAAAAGAGCACAATAAAAGAGGTATATTGGTATACTAAAATTCTACAGGCCTGCAAGAAAAAGAGTGCACAATATGACAACAAGCTATGAACAGAGTGCTACTACTAGCTGCATCTAAAGACTCTGAGTGCAGCTATAAATAAAGAAGAATACCTACAAGAAAACATAGTGTGAAGAAAAGAAACAGAAAGAAGTATAAGCACCTAAGATGTGTTAAGAGAGGTACTGGGCTTTACTCAGTGTCAGAGCTAGACACTGCAGCATCCCCATCAATAGATGCATTCTTAGAACCAGGATGTACCAAGAAAGATTTGAGGAGATCAGAGACCTGTGCATAAGCTTTGATGATCTCAGCACCATGCTCATGAGAAGCAATGACATCAAGACCATCAGTAAGCTCACCCACAACCTGCTGCTGGTCCTCATACAAGAGCTGAAGGAACCTCACAAGCAGCTTGATCTCAATCTCAATATGCTCGATATGGTCAATACCACAATGAATAGCTAAGAACAAGACAATCAGATAGACCAGAAATGAACAGAGATCAGAAAAGACATACCACCATCATCACTGAGAATGAGAGGGTCTAATAAGATAGCAGCATGATGGAGCTGATTAGCATCCCAGCATGCAGAGCAATGGCCATGACAAGTGGATCTACAGTGCATACAAATCTCCTCGCCAACTCCACCCTCAAAAATGCACTCCTCAGGGAAACCAGCCAAAGTGCAGTTAAAGCATGGCCAGAAAAGCTAGTGAGCAAGGAAATAAGAACAGAAATGAGAAACAGAAAAGACAAACATACTAGAGGAGGATGGATAAAATAAGAATTTTTATTGGAATGACAACAGTAGACATATTCCCAGCCACTGCACAATTGTGCAGGTGGTCTGTAAAGAAAATACAATCAGAATGTGAACAAAAAACAGAAAGAAAGGACTCACTTAGTCAAAGAGTCAGGAGCAACAGGAAGCATAGAAAGCTTCATGGATTCTAGGGCTTGATGGAAAGGAGGTTCATAGAACTGGAGATCAATGGCCAGGTGAAAGGCATATGCATAAATGGTATGGTTAACAGTCTCTCCCACAGACATATTGGCAGGAGCTTTAGAAACTGTGGGAATAGACTGCTGCATACACTGAGAGTGGGGAGGCTTTCCAGAGGCCATCAGAATGGTCATCTCTTTGCATCAGGAATACACATGTGTAGGAGGAGGAGAAGCAGGTTTGGGAGAGGCTGGAAAGGCAAGATAAGTGATACCAGAGAGAGGCTCACCAGTCAGGGGATGATACACATGAGGAGAGGGAGATAACAGGCTGTTTAGAGCTGAAGAAACAGCCTCTGTGAGAGCACCTTCAGGACCCTCACTAGCAGGATCAGGGGTACTGACTGAGCATGGAGAAGAGCCAGCAGGCTTATCACTCTCCACAGCAGAAGGAGTACTGGTATCATGATCAATGGGTGGAGCTGGAAGACAATATTAATCAGAGAATAAGGCAAAACCATAGAGAAGAAACAAAAGAATGCACTGGATGGGACAGAGAATTTGAGGGAGCCAGGAATTGGCTTCCACTGGAAGGTGGTCTGGGAAACTGAGAAAAGAGGTACCAAAGGCTGCATGTGAGACTGAGACAAGCTAGCCACACTAAGAGAAATAGAAGATGAGAGGAATATGGCTGAAGATGGCTGAGGGCAATATAAACAATGTACAGGATAGGCTTGGCCCTCTTAGAGGCAGAGGCAGGTACAGGCTAGGAAAAGAGAAAAGGAATAAGTACAGGCAAAGAGGAATCAGAAAGATTGACTTACAGGAGCCAGGATTCCAGTCTCCTGCTGATGTTTATAAACCACTGTGGCCCTCTGCAAAGGCAAAGACAATGAGAAGGTGAAAATCCAGATATGAAAAGGGATAACCTACCAAGCCAGAACTGACAGCTGAAAGAACCATGGAGATAGTATTTTTAGTAACAGGAGAGAAACCTAGAAAAAGGAAAGGAGCTACAGTAAGAAAGAGAGAGACAGAGCACAACTTATTAGATTCTCTTGAAACCTAGGGGGTCCTGATAGGTGTCAGCCAGGGGATTCTGCAAGTAGGGCAATAGTATGAGCTAACAGAGATACAGAAGAGCAACAAAGATCAGAACTCACCCAGATAAGCTAGCCTCAGGTTTCATGACTTTAGGGACTAAGGCAGTAAGGCCAATGACCACTGGAGCAGGAGGGGCAGAGATAGCATGTGAAGGGAGCAGGAGCTGGTGAGGAATGGAGGATAGATTCCCATCCTTATAACCTGGCTCTCCAGGCAGAAGAAGAGAAGCATCATAGTCCCACTAGCATGAGGGAAATATGAGTGAGCAAAGCAGGCTGAGAAATAAGAGAACATACTGAGGAATTCTTATGCTCCATCTCTGTAAGTGCCCAAGCTTTTCACTCTTTGCATTGAAGATGGGTAGGGATATGCTGAACAAGCTTGGCAAGCTCTAGACAAAAGGACACACTATAGTTGGAGTCATGCAGGTCAAAATGCATGAGACTGGCATGATATGCTGCCTACAGAGGCAAAGTAGGTATGAATGGCAAGTTAATGAATAGGAAGTAAGCATGCATCAAGTAAGAGGTTGCCTGGTTAACAGCAACAATGAGGTCCTGTGGCTCCACAATATCTGCTACAGAAGAATCAAAGTATGCAGCTATGAAGGTATGGGCACCAATGAGATTAGCTATGAGAGTGGCCACAGGGATAGCAAGTGAAGGGACAAAGGTTGTCATAGTGAGGAAAGCTAGAGAAACAGCATGGAATATGTTGGAAGAGTGAAGTGGAGGGAAAGAAAGAAAGAAACAGCATGAGAATGGCACCCATTGATGTGCTTAGTAACAGCTAAGTGACTAAGAGAAGTGAATGAGGAATGAACTCTCAAACACCAACACCTAACCACTCAATACACAATCACCAAATACAGTTGAGGTCAGTTGTTTCGAATACAATAAAAGCACTCTTGCAGTCTTAAGTAAAATTGAAGAAACAGTTAATAAAGACAGTTATTTAACTCTATCTTGCTTTCAAAGATGCAATACTCATGAGAGTAGTTTATAGCAATGTTTAAGTATGATTAGGACTTAGAATCACCACCAAATTGTGCTTCAAACCAACTTAGAATATTCTGACACCCAATAAACTCCAAAACCCAAATACTAAGTCTATCAAGCACTTAGGCTTGACTAGCTGCACTCTTGGCTGGCTAGTGGTCCTCAAAACTGAAGAACTTGTATTCTGATGCTGAAACCCTTATAGTTTGAAACCCAAATTAATCCAAAACCCAAAATATAGTTATTATTCCAATCTAATCCTCTCTCTAAGTGACAAAGCAACTTAAATAAATCACTAAGTC